GCAATGATCCCTCTCCTGCTCATCAGGAGCTTGATCCTGGGCCTTGATATAAAATGACAATACTCAATGTGTGGGTCCAAGGCTTAGGGAAACTGAAATAGCACATTTCAAAGCCTGTGGTGTAGAAGGGGTATAGGGTGGTTCCCATCCAGGGGTGATTTACCCCAGAGGACACTGGGTAATGTGTGGAGCCATTGGCTGTTGTCCAAGCTGCCTGGTGAGGGAGGGGCTGCTGACATGAAGCAGGGAGAGCCCAGGGAAGCTGTGACACATCCTACAGGGCCAGGACTGTCCACATAGAAGAGTACCCAGCCCAGTGTCCATAGGACTTCCCTGGAGATGCCCTGCTATAGCTGAAGCAGATTTGCTCTGAATTCATAAGCATTGAAATGAGGCGTGGAGAACACGGGGATTCCTTACAGTGCTTTGACCTCACCTGTGTGTGCTGTAAATTTAGTGTGGTGGGATGTCTCAGAGATGCCACGAGAGAACTTTGTAATATGAACAGGATTTCTTCAAGCCTCATTTCACTAATGTCAACTCAGCCCGAAATCAAAGTGTCTCAAGGGTAAACTAATGACCAAGGAGAAAACTATGAAGAGACATTTTATGATTTAGCACAATGTTTGACAAGATTGCTTTCCCACCTTCGATAACCGAGTTAACCATTGTCCTCCACAGAGAAAGAAACCTAGGAAAGGAGGTTAGCAGGTACTTACATCAAAGTCTGAAGTATTCATGCAAAGCCTCTATGTATTCCACAATATATCCTCAAGAAATTGAATTTCTGTCAAATCTGTGAAAGTATTGTCATATTGGAAGTTTCGGCTTTTTAATAAACCTGAGTTAGATTTATTTTAATATGAATCTTTGAGTGTTAGAGGGAAACCACATTGTTAAACTTATTTGTGTTGTTAGACTGTGCCTGCTTACTTAAAATTATACTTTTTGGCTTCAGAGGTTGATTTTTATTTCTTATTCTGGTAAAGATTATTAACCCATTGAGTATGGCCTTATTTTTTTTCATTTCAATTAGATCCCAATCCTTTTCCTTTCAGAAATAGGAATATATTTATTCACAACCTTCTTTGTGAAAAGTTATTTGGTGTGTTCAATAAATGAATGGTTATCAGTTCATGCTTTTCTCTTAACAAATGGAAATGTTAAGAACCCATTGTAGCAGAGCTTGTTTACTACAGTCAGTTACTGAAATCAATGCCATGTCTTCCTATAAGAGAATCTCTTTTTTATTGTGGTGTGTTTTCCATTTATGAAATGGAAAACTACTTATTAAATACAAAGAACAACCTCTTGGAGGCCACAACACAGATGACTCTCCAAAACATTACATTGAGAGAATGGAGCCAGATAGAAGAGTGAACATGCTTCATGCTTGCATTCATAGGAGACTAGGAAGAAGCTAAAGAATTCCATGATGATAGATTAGATGAGCAGGTGCCAGTTGGCAGTCAGGTTTAGAGTTTACCTGGGAGGAGTCATGAGTAGTTTCTGGGGTGATAGAAATATTTCCTTTTAGTTTGGGGGGTTGGCTCCACAGGGTATAAATTTGTCAAAAATTATTGAATTTATTGGAATGTGAAAATTTATTGGACTCAAGGTCTTGACATTCCATGGAATCACAGAATTTCAATTGTTTGTGAGGTTTCACAATGTTAGGTGGTAGATTTGGATTTTGTTCAGTCAGTGGGGCATCAGAGTCAAATGCTCACGTACCTCACTGTGCCCAGGTGCACCTCACCAAAACCCCTATGGTAGACTCTCCTTCTTCACATCTTAGCATGTCACATAATCCCATTGTCTTTTGCCAATGCTCACTCTCCTGCCTTATTTGCATATAGAGGTGGACCCCTGACTTAGTTCTGGCCAATAAGAATGAAAAAGAAAAATAAATCCTGCAGGAGATTTCTCATAATTATTTTCAAAATGTGAGCTGGGTCTTTATCATCCTACATATGAAGATATGATGCTTGGAGCAGCTGCTGTACTGCATCTTGCAACCGTTACAACAGCCTAGGGAGCCAAGCAATGCCAATCCAGTTTGCCATCGTCACAGAATTAAAAATCATCCTGGGAACATTGACCTCCAAACTTCTCCTCAAATCAGCAATACATGATTCTGTGGCTCCAACCAAGGCCAAACAGTCTTTTCCCGTAAAATAAGAGAATAAATATTGAGGGCTTTATGGACTACGCAGTCTCTGTCCCATTCTGCTCTTATAGTGTGGAAACAGACACAGAGAACACGCAAAATATGGGCCTGGCTGTCATCCAATAAAACTGTATTATGAACATAACCATTTGAATTTCTTGCTAATGTGTGTCACCAAAACTTCTTTTTTGATTATTTTTCCTCAACCATTAAAAAATTTAAGAGCCTTTCTTAGGTCACAGTGCACACAGGAACAAGCAGTGAGATTGGTTTGACTGAAGCCACTCTTCACTAGATTGAAGCAAACACAGTCCTAGCTACATCACCTCTTTCCCTGAGACCACAGATAACCACTGTTTAGAAAGAAGAGTCTTTGGAAATTGTTCAGATGTAGATGATAATGGTTCATAATGGCTATCTTGCATTTTGTCACCCCTGCTTTGAGACATGTGCCTTCTAATAAATTCCCATCTTGGTCATTAAATAAGACTTCTACTACTGAATTTCAGGCATGAGAACCAGGCTAATGGGAGGAAGGCACCCAAGGAAGGAAAGAATCTGTTCTGGGGTCTCCCAAGATCATTCTGGTAAGGAGAACTGGCCACAGCATGGACCTTTGTCTGCAATTGCCACGATCCTTCTATCTATCACTACATGCTAACCCCAGAGGTGCAGTGAGTACTGCCAAGGTCACACTGCTGAGAGGTGACTGGGTGGAATTCCATTTCATGGGATCCATCCTCCATTCTAAACACTGTGCAGTGCTGATTACTGCAGAAGAGGGAGAAGGTGTCCCAATGTGACCACACTGGAAACTACTGACAACTGGGACAGGATTTGAAGTCCTAGCATGAGGTTAAAGTGGCCCATTTAACCTGCAGGAAAACAGAGGCAGGTGAACTCTGCTCCTTCACCGTTGACTGATCTCAGATGGCACTTTGAGTCTCCTGCTCCTCGTGTTCCTGGCTCATGTTTTCATTCCATCCTTGAGTTCACCTCTAGCCCTGGAGCTCCTCATGGCAGTTTTCACCCTCCTGTTTCTCCATGTGCAGATGATGGGATTCAGCTTAGGAGTGATGACCATGAAGAGCACAGCCACCAGTTTGTCCTCAGTGACTGCAGAGGACAGCTGTTGTTAGAGGAAGATGGCAGGCTCAGAAGTCTGCTGGGCATGTAGCTCAGACGTGGCGTGCTTGCTTAGCATGAGTGAGGCACCGAGTTCATCCAATGGCCACCGCCCACCTGGCCAGCAAGTGGGGTGGTCCTGGCAGGAGCCCATGTTCTGCAGGAGGTGGAGGCATCTCTAGCTTGGAATACTACTTGGTGTCCCCCTCCCTATTTCCCTGGTCCACCCATGTCCTGCCCCATGCTAGCCTCACTCTCAGCGCCCACAGTTGGACTGACTCTCCCACAAAGAGGATCAAGTATTCCTGCAAAGCTGCCGGCTGGCTGAGGAAATCGCTAAGAGCAAGCAGACTGGGTAGGTGTCCCTGCTGCTCAGAGGGCAGCTATTCCTCAGCCGCATGGCAGAGGGGAAGTTGGATCACCTGAGCTGCTCTCTCAAGACCAACCTGGAAATAATCCAGGTGGGAGAGGTGCTTTTTTAAGCAGGTGGTTCGTGGCCTGCGGGAGAAGGGCGTCTCTGGCTTGAGTGGGTGCTGCTGCTCACTGGCTCTGCCTTCATAGGCCCCTTGTGCCCAAGTCCTCGTCCAAGGGATGAGCTGGAGGTGGAGTGAGTGTACAGATGCTAAGAACAGAGCTGGGCCCACAGTCAGGGCCCGGTAAACAGTTCATCATTCACCACAGGACACTGGTAGCATAAGACGAGTCCAAGGCTGCAGCTGGACCTAAAATGTCCCCAGAGTGGTGGGAGGTGGAGGGACTCTTGGGAGGTTGGCCCAGGGAGGTCCTCGTTCATGAGGGTGTCCCTGAGGGGGACCCTGGTCCTTTCTCCTGTAGTCATGAGTCTCCTCAAGGGGTACCAAGGTCCCTACCCCTCTTTCTCACCCTATTCTGAGGTGAGCAGGTCTTGCTCTGCCTGAGCTCCCCCCATGACCAGCTGCCTCACTACCTTGGGTCAAGCAGCTGGCCCCAGAGAAGCTTGTCGACTCTCAAGATGCCCAAGCCCACTGCCAACCTGTGTCATGCCTGGGCCACAGCTGGTCACACACATGCCAAACCTTGGTAAACCCTCTGCTGCCAGGACACCACCGCCCCACTGTGTGTGCGTGTGTGCGTGTGCGTGTGTGTGTGTGTCCTTGATTCCTTGATGCTGCAGGCTCCTTTCTCCAGCGTCTGGGCCACATGTGGACTGAAGCCTCCAAAGCCGTGGGCCCAAGCAGCCTCTGCCCTTTGTGAGCCAGTTGCCCTGGGTGTGCTTTGGGGTGGCGAGCTGACCAATACCACTCTTTAGGACAGAAGAGCCATTCTGCAGCCTGATACCCAATAGGGGCCACCCAAGAGCTCTTGGCCTGCCCAACCCATCCAGCGACTTGCCAGGGAAAGTGCCTTCCACGAGCCACACAGTGGCTGCCCTTTGTTTCTGGGGCTTCTTGACGACACACTGCGTGCTATGAGCCAGCCCACACTGGAGCACCCGGTCCTGGAACCCCCGCCTGCAGAGACCACGGGAGACCTGCTCTCGTCACCCCAGGCAGGGGCTCCAGCTTTGTTTGGAGGTTAGAGTGGCAGGTCACTACCCAGATGACCAGCCAGAGCTTCAGAGCCAGCAACAGTGTGATGCCTGTGGGGTCACTTCTCAGGACCCAGGTCCTCCCACCCTGCCCCTACACCCTTGCCCCCAGCTGGTGGAGACGCCCACTCGGGTCCATTTCCAAATGCTGTGTTTATTTTACTCCCTCTGTGCTCAGTGTGGGACCGACATAGATGCCAAGGTCCTGTGACCTGAAGGTCCCCACCTTCAAATGCAGCAACCAAGTTGCGTGGGAAGAGAATCACCACCACCATGGGGAGGGGACAGAGAGCCAGGTCATCCTGCAGCCCTGAGGAGCCACTCCTCAAGGTCCAGATGGCTGCAGATGGAGGTCTCCCGTCTTTAGCTTTTCCACCAGTACCGCTTGTCCTCGTCAAAGGAGTACCAGCTGCTGTCGATCACCACGTGGGGCCTGAGCCGCTGCACATCCTCCAGCAGCCATCTTATCTCCACGGGATACTGCTCCTTCCACAGGCTGTGGGCAGAGAGGGCACCCGTTACCCCGAGACCTTGAATCCCCCTTCCTCCAGCCTCCTGGGATCCTGGAGAAGGATCCAGCCTTCCCCCCCACACACCTGAGGGGGACAGTACGCTCCCCACAGAACACGGGTCAGTCCCTTCAGGCAAAGGAACCCCTGGATATGTCAGAGGCCACCCTGGGCTCCCATCCTGTTCACTGTCACCAGCCCTTCCCAAGGATCTCTGTGCTAGGCCTTATCATGAGGTCTGGAGGAACAGTGATGGACAGGGCAGTCCCCAGCTTCACTCCACTCATCTGAGGAGAGAAACGGGTATTTAAGTAGATTTTGTAGAAGGGAAAATGGGCTCAGAAAAGGTCAATCAGCAGAATCCACGTCCGCTTCTCCACCACGTCCACAGTCACACGATCCCCAAAGACTGCTGGACCTAGAATGTCCCCAGAGTAGTGGGAGGTGGAAGGACCCTTGGGAGGTGGGCCCAGGGAGGTCCTGGTTCATGAGGGTGTCCTTGGGCCTGCTCTCCCAGCCCTGTGCCTGTGGTTCCAGCATTGGGTCAAGCAGCCGGCCCCGGAGAAGCTTGTCGACTCTCAAGATGCCCAAGCCCACTGGCCAACCTGCATCATGCCTGGGCCACAGCTGGTCACACAAATGCCAAGCCTTGGTAAACCCTCTGCTGCCAGGACACCACTGCCCCCCTTTGTGTGTTTGGGGGGGGGTCCTTGATTCCACAGCCTCCTTTCTCCAGCGTCAAATCATAGCCCCGCTCACCATCAGGATGAAGGCTTTAGCTTTTACTGATAGTTTCCGTGTCTGGCAGGGAAACTGTCTCTGTGCTGTGGCCTTCATGGGAAAGATCTTGTTCTTAAAGGATGGGACCCTTGGCCCCTGGGAACTCCCTCAAGTGGCTCCATCCATGCAGCACAGCAGTGTGGGGCAGACTCTTCAGCCTGGCTCTCACTAGTGCCGCCCTCTGGGGCTGGGCCACCTCTGTTTGTCCTGTTCTGGATCTTGCCCAAGCTCCTGTGTCACATGCCACCACACCTTAGAAACAGAGCTGCTGGAGGCCTTCCTGGATCCTAAAGATCAGATTTTAAAAATCTGGACTGAGGCTCTCCCTGACCACGGGCTTATCGCCCACCATCCTGTCAACCCCAGCTTTTACCACTGCTCCCTCTTCTCATTACCTTCCCTGGACTCTCAGCCAGGAATGCTCCCACCTCACCGTGTGCCCTGAGGGCTCAGATCAAGTGCCTGATGCTGGGGAGCACTGTGACCTGCGAGTGCCTCAAGTCTACGGCTCTTATATCTCACGCCCTCCTTGGCATTGACCATCTGCAGTGACCCCGAACCTTATATTTTAATTTAACCTTTAATACACTTAAAAATGACTGCTTACTCTCTTCTAAGTGCAGTCCGGGACAGTAAATACACTTGTGTTGTTGGACACTCCTGTAGAACTTGTGTGTCGTCCCCAACTGCCCAGTCCCCAGCCACTTTTCCTCGCACCCCGAGACCAGGCTATGTACTTCACGGGAGAGCACATCAGTGTCCTGGCCCACTCAGTGTCATGTCCTCAAGGCTCCCCTGTGGGGCCAGGTCAGAACTGCCCTTCAAGGCACCGTGTTCCACTGCCTACGTGGATGGCACTGATCACCCATCACCTGCCTCTTGGCTACCAATGGGTGCTGCTGCTGCGGCAGGGGTGCCAGTGACTCAGGTCTTGCTTTTAGCTGCTGAGTAGAGCCATTCTGTTGATTTCTGGGCTTGAATATCAGTAGATTCCCTCCTCCCCCTCCCTCAGCCCACCTGAAAGCAAGTTCCCGAGATGCTGAACCTCCACCTCCAACTCCATATGCTCCCGGCATCCAGCATGGAGCCTGTGGCCCAGCCAGTACCCACAGCTGGGGACAGAGCTAGCTGCTTCTCACCAGCTAGCCTGCCTGCCTGAGAAGTAGGCCTGTGCCCCAGAACACTCGCCAGGGACTCACCCAATTATTCTTAGGTTGCACGTGGGCCGGGAGAAGGCGGAGCACAGCAGGGTCATCCCTGAGGGGTAGAAGTTGTTGCACAGCAGGTTCAGGCTGGTCAGGGAGTGGTTGCAGGACAGGGCGGAGGCCAGCACCTCGCAGCAATCAGTGGTCAGTCTGCAAGCCTCTAGCCTGCAGCAGTGGGGGCCCAAGAAAACCCAGGATCAGTGCCGTGTCCTGCACCAACCCGTGGATTTCATCTCAATGTCAAAGAAAAAGTGGGGGGTCACACCCCATCTCTGGCTAGGAAGTTCCAGGAAAGACTCAAAGGTTCCCATTCAGACACATTCCCAAGTGATGCTACTGCCCCTGAGCTCCCTTTGAGGGCTTCTGGGTGACCCAGATCAAGTTGTGGGAAGAAGGATGAAGGCCGAGAGCTGAAGGAGAGCAGCACGGGGGCAGCAGGGACTGCAGAGGTGGCGGCAGTGTCTGCAGGACCCCACCCTTGCGGGGGGCATGCTGGAGAGCACATGGCCACAGCTCAGTCACAGGCAGTGGCGAGGGCCAGGCTTTGAGGGTTTACCACACGATAGCAGAAAGCCCTAGAGTAAGGCCCAGTGAGGACGTGAGCCGCCTAGATGTCCAGAGGCAGAACACGGAGCCCCCCGGCTTGCTGCAACAGGGACAGAGAGGGCAGTGACGCCCCAGGAGTGCAGGAGGTGGTGGAGGGCTTTATGTTCATTGTGGATTTTGAGGTTCTAAACTCACATGATAGAGTGTGGGGCTGGGCACAGGGTCATGTCTTGGTTTTGGTTCTGGAGCAATTAGAGACAGAAAACGCCCATTAGGGAGGCCAAGGACAGGGCATGGGGGTCAGGGGTCAGCAGCACTAGGCGCTGTGCAGGCAGGACCTGGGGTCTCTGCTGCTGGCGATGTTGACTCTGCATTAGGGAGGCAGTGGCTGCAGACCCCGAGGGTTCCCCGGAAGCTCATCCCATGCTTTCCTCACGCGGGTTGCGCGGTGTCTGGAGGGGGGGTGTCATTTAAGCCCCAGGAAGAACAGGTAGGCCCAGAGGTTTACGGGCATGGAGTTGGTTTGAAATAAATGTCACTGGGAAGGGAAGAAAGATTAGCTGGAAAACTGATGCTGGGAAGGTAGGAAGTGATGTCCATGATCCTCAAGTGCCCCTGTCCCCAGCCCGCCTGTGCCTGTCACTTCAGAGCCTGTGGTTCCTAGGTCCTGCGGGCAGGTTGGGTGTGGGGAGCATTTCAGGTGGAGGCCACAGCACCCACATGACAGGACATGGAGACCCAGAAGGGTCTAAAGAAGGCCACGTGGGCGGGTGGCCCTGGAGGAGGCCATACAGAACATGATGCCAGCGCCTGGGTGGTGTCCAGTGAGTGCAGCGGAGCCCCAGTGGACCCCCTGGCGGAGCTGGGTGGCCACACCTCCACCTAGCTCCCTAGCTTCCTCCTCCTGTGCCTCCCCCTCCCAGCCCCTGGCACCCCATCCACCTCGTCTACGGGGCTGACTGTCCTGCTTTTCTCCCCATCAATGGAATCAACATGCGTGACCTTGTGTATCTGGTCCCTTTCACATAGTGTTTTTCCAAGGTTCGCACGTGCTGTGGCAGGTACCAACACGGCTGAGCCGTGTTCCAAGCATGATCCAGGAGTGTCCTAAAGAGCCCCAGTGACTGATGCCCACTGCAGCTGGGAGCCACTGGGGTGACTGCTCAAGTGCCGTCCTTCCCCTAAATGGCCACACCAGGCCCCCCACCCCATTTCCCAGCACCACGGGCTGCTTGGGGGTGCCCAGGGCTTTCTCCTGCAGACCCTGTGCCCATGCTCTGCTGCCCCTCATCTCATCCACAGTAGGGGGCTGGCATTGAAGCCCAGGCCTGTGTTAGCTGTGCCCGTCCAACCTGGCAGGGCTGCTGGCCTCCTCCACACGGGGGCCCTTAGGCCTCCTCCCAGCTCTGCCCTCCACGGCCATTCCAGGAGCTTACCCGAGTCTCCGCAGCGAGCTGTCAGGCTGCCGCAGTCCCTCGCACAGCGCTGTCACTCCACTGTCCCCCAGGGCATTGGCGGCAAGGTCCAAGCTCTGGAGGTGCTTGTTCCTGGCGATCATGCAGGACAGGTTCTTGCAGCAGTCCGCGGTGAGCTGGCAACTCACCAACCTGCAGAGACCAGAGGCGGCCGACTTTCAGGGACAGTGCCATAGTGGGGCAATGTCAGAGACCCCTGTGGGTTTTGTTCACTCCCTGTGGCTTGGAAGGGGGCGGGCTGCTGGCACCAGAGGGCCATCTTGGGGAAAAGTGAGCAGGTCGAGCCTCTCCTGGAGGGGCCCAGGTCCTTGGGGGTGGGGTGCAGGGAGCAGAACAGAAAAAGGAGAAACTGGCAGAGCCCAGAGGGGAGGGGCCAGCAGGGGCTGCCACAGGCTGGTGGGCCTGGGTCCCAAGGCCACATGGGCAGTGGGGGTGGAGCAGCTGAGGAATGGCTGCAGAGCTCATCTGAGTGACAATGACCAAAGGTGTCCATGACCACCCAGGCTCAGCATCCCAAACCCAAAATGCTCCAAAAGTCAAACCCAGTACTGATGAGAAGCCACAAATGGCAACACCTGTCTACACCTGTCGCCGTGTGCCAGGTCGGTCAACTAAGGGGCCTGAAGACTATACAAAATCATCTTCAGGCCCCGGGGATGGTGCACGTGGAGAAGTGATTTGTGTGTAGACTTGGGTCCTTCCCTTACGTCTCCGTCTACCAACATTCCAAACTGTGAGGTAGATCCAAAGTCCAGAACACTCCTGGCTCAAGCATTTTGGACAAGGGACATTCTACTTGCATCTTCAGCTTGGAAACCATAGGCAGAGTGACCCTGGGGTCAGAGAGTCCTCGTGAGGCATGTGGCTCAAGACAAGGAAGGACTCAGCTATGAGAGCTCACATCTGAGGGCCGGGGGCAAGATTGTCTTAGGGACAGTGGGCAAACGATGACAAACTGAGGATCCCCTAAGCACCCAGCAGTTTAGTGCAATCCCAAAGGAAGGGAGTCTCCATTCGACCAAGAGTAAAGTTCTATACCACCCAAAAGTAGGGCTTGAAATTAAAACCAATGAGGAATTCATATTGAGCGGCATAGTGGGAGGACAGAGATTTCCAAATCGCCCTACTTTCTTGTCTACCAATTCCACCTTTGTAACTGATTGACAATGCTATTAAATGTTCATGACTGTTGGGGCTGGGATGTGGCTCAAGTGGTAGCGCGCTCGCCTGGCATGCGTGCGGCCTGGGTTCCATCCTCAGCACCACATACATACAAAGATGTTGTGTCTGCCGAAAACTAAAAAATAAATATTGAAATTCTTTCTCTTTAAAAAAAAATGTTTATGACTGAGACACTGGACCTAAGGGAAGTGCCCACCTTTAGGGGATTTTAAAGGTCACATCCACCATTGAGTGGGGTGCTGGGTCATGCTGTAGCATACCCTATCAAGGGCGGAGTACGGGACAAAGCAGAGGTTTCCATCTTTGACACTCTAGTTCCTGCTGGCTCGGTGGCACCCTCTGAGGTTGGATAGAGGAGTGCATTAAGTACCCACCCCCAGGACCTCCAGCGCAGGGCATCTGCCCTTGCACGCTCTCAGTGACCCCACACTTCACCTTGCCACAGGAAACATGAGCTCCTGTGGACCCCGGCACCCCAGGCCTGCAGAGTGCAGGCTGCCCCCGACTCCCGTGGTACTCACTCCAGGTCCTGAAGGTGGCAGCAGGGTTCCTGCAGGACCTCACACAGAAGCTTCAACCCTTTGTCCTTCAAAGGGTTCCTGTTGAGGCTCAGGTGCGTCAGCCCCAGATGTGGGTTGCTCATGAAGGCCAATGCCAGGAAGCCGCAGCCCACCACGTCCAGGTGGCACTGGTTTAGTCTGTGGGACACAAGGGCAAGGAAGGGTTGGGCCCACTCCCCTCAGGAAGGGCCACGTCTGATCAGGAGGGCTGTGGGGCTCAGGGTAGTGGCACTAGGCACGTGGGGTGCCAGATCCTTCTCTTTACCTCTCCTCGGACCCTGAGGATTACCTTCCCGTGGCTGCCATTCACAAGTGGCCACGACGTAGTAGCCTAGGACTCGAACCTACCATCTTATGATGGAAGTCCATGCGGCATGGGCTTCCTGGGCCAGGGCCTAGCAGGGAATAGGGCCGTGTTCCCCACAGGCTCCAGGAGGAGCTGCTCCTGCCCTTCCCAGACTTCAGGGCCATCTTCCAATGGCTGGTTGATAGCATCACTTGGATGCCCACCTCCTGCTTCTCTGCTCCCCTCTTTTAAGGGCCCCTGTGATGACCGCTGGCCATCCCCATAACCTACCAGGGGCCTCCCATCTCAAGATCCTCAGTCTCAGCCATGGAGTCCCTTTGCCATGTAAGGCAGCACGTTCACAGGCCCCAGGGATGAGGTGTGGCAGCTGGTGGGGGGCGCCATTCCACCTCCAGGGTTCAGCATCCCCCATCCACCTGGGAGCCCTCAGGCCTGGAAGGCACCTTGTGCTTAAGGTCATGTTCTTCCTTGGCCTGTGTATTAGGGGCTGAACCCAGGGGTGCACACCACTGAGCCACATCCCCAGCCGTTGTTGGTTTTTTATACTTTGACACAGTGTCTCGCCAAGTTTCTGAGGCATCTATGGGGGTCCCAGGCCCCATCCTGCAGATCCCGGGGACACTTGTCTTGGGTCCCTTTGTGGCAGCACCCTCCACGTTCTGCCCTGGTTCTGTGCTTTGGGAACCACAGGGGCTATGGGGCAGACAGACTCACATCAGCCTCTGGAGGGCACAGTGGGGAAGCCGGAGGGAGCGGCACAGCAGGTTCAGCCCTTCGCTCCCCAGCTGGTTGTTGGACAGGCACAGGTGCGTCAAGCTGTGGTTGTGGACGAGGATGGAGGCCAGGTCTTGGCAGCCAGCGGCTGTGAGGCCACAGGTGTCCAGCCTTTAGAAGTGAGCCCGGGAAGAAGTGAGTTTTTCCCCCAGAGTCCCTCCCTTGTCTCCATGAGATTTTCCTGTCCCCCTCCCTTCCAGCTTTGAGCCTGTGGGGAGTCCTGTTTGTGTGGCATTAGGCTCCCAGGGCCTCCTGGCTGGAGCTGTTTGAAGGAAGCTCTGCATCTGAAAACCAGAGCAATCCAGAGCCCGACAGCTGCTCTCCCAGGGCTGTGGCTACACTAACGGGGTCAGCATGCCAGGTGCCTAGCACACGGGCCCTCGGTGGACCACGAGAGCTCTTCCTGTGAGGAGGCCTACTGGCTGGCTTGGCCAGTGGAGGGGGTGCCCCTGGCTCCTATCGAGATCCTCCATCCTTCTCTGGCTTCAAGAGGGTAATTTGTGCTACCGTTCTCAACCTTGGCTGTGACTCTGGACCTAAGGTGATGTGCTCCGGTGACAGCCAGGCCACAGCCTGGAGACCGGTCAGGGGTCGAATCCCTGCTTCCCTGCCTGATAAAGTTGGTGGGCATGCAGCTCTACCTTGCCCACCAACAGGGCAGGGCAGGATGCCCCCCAAGGCCTGCTAGACCATGCCTGGACCTGCCCCTCCCCTGTCCTTGGGCAGCAGGCAGAGGAATCTCACTGGGATCGTGGCTGATGCTCTGTGGGACCCGTCTGACCCAGTCTGTGCTGAGACCTGGGTGCTCTGTTCTGCCCTTCCGTCACCGGAGACCAATCTCCCCGTCTGAAAGGCTTTGAGTGGACACGTGGTCGCTTTCTGGGGTGGCTTCCTGCTGCTGCCCTCACATGGCTCAGAAGTGGAGGCAGACATTACTTACTGGGTCCTCCTGACACTGGGGCACTCCAAAACGCCACCCTCCCACGTGTCCCCACTTTAGGTTGTAGGGGGACAACCCCATTGTGCTGAGGGCCTGAGCCCTGGTGAGGGGAACCACTTACACCAGCTCTGTCAGGGTGCACAGCGAGGTCCTCAGGGCTCCACAGAGCGGCTCCAGGCCCTTGTCTGTCACCTCGTTCCTTGCCAGGCTGAGGGATTTTAGGCTGGTGGCTGTGGCGAGCATCTGGGAGATCACTGGGTAGCAGGCTTGGGTCAGCCCACAGGAGTCCAGCCTGCAGAGACGGGCGGCATGAAGGCATCTCCCCTCGTGCAGGCCTGTTCCTCTGCTCACCTTCCTGGTCCTTGGATGCTGCTCCTGCCGCAGCATCTGAGCACAGGCCTGGCCCCAGGTCCTCATGGGTTTGGCTCCTCACTCAAGTATCCTGGGTTTCACTTCTTTGGAGTGAGCTGGACGGACTACCTTATACTGCCTACCTTTCCCACCGAGTTTCCCATAGCAGTGAACACCTGGGGGTGTCCCTGCATGTCTAGCAGCCACAGGACTGCCTGGCACACAGACAGCACTTGGCATTTGCCAGAAGGCCCAACCTGAGACCTCTGGCTGTGTCGGAGGGCAGAATGTACATTTAGCCTGTTGCCCGGCCATCCCACTCCAAGTCCACCTGCCATTTAAGCACCTGCCGGCAGGCAGCTTACCGTCCTTGGAACTGCCCAGTTTATCCTCTGGAAAACGGGGATGATGCCCCCACGCCAAGCACGTGAGATGTCTGACAGATGCACAGGTTGGATCCAGCCATAGCAGATGCCAGCCATGCCCACCTGCTTGTCACGTGTGGAGTGGGACCACACTGCCCAGCCTGCCTTGCAGCAGGTCCTTTCACAAGACTGAGAGCCAGCTAAGGTGGCGAGGGAACCCTCTGACCCCCTCCAGCAGCCCCTCAGTGCCCATAGAGGGTTGGTGTCAGCATGGCTCTGGGTACCGAATACCCCAGATGCAAAAATGGCATAATCCTGGCTTAGGACCACGCAGCCCTCCCATGGGCCCTCATCTGCTGGAGACTTAATACCCAATAGGGGGCAAATGCCACAGGAAGCTGCCAGGCTGTGTTCCCTGGGGACAGTGATGGGATAAAGGTCTGCCTGTTCTCACGGACAGTTTCTTTAACACTTCTAATACTTCCAGGTCGATAAGCCTGTGGGCACGAACCTGTTCCAGTCCTATAAATAGGATGTCAGCTAAGCAAAAGAATCTGACCTACAGGATTCTGAGCTTCACAATGTGGCCCTATCTGCTATCCACGTCAGGTCCTGACCAGGGAGCCAGCCAGTCTACCCTGCACCCTTTCACCAACACTTGGGACATGACATAGGCCACGTGTCCATAGGCCTTGGGGATACGGTGGTGAGGGAAATCGAGGTACCTTGCTGTCCTGAGCCACCAGGAGCAAACCCAGTATGCTTTCGGATTGCTGTTGTCCCCACTCCAGGCTCTGAATGGCCTGTCCTGTCCCCCTTTTGTCTGGCAATGTCCCCTATTTTCCCTTTGAACCCCAGCCCTGGCTGGTGGAGGAGGGGAGAGGAGGGCCGGGAAGGAGAGTTGGAAGCTGTGTCTCATGTGTGAGCCACACACTGGGCAGCCTTCTCGCCCTCAGGACCTCTCTGGCTGGCTGTGTGGCTGCACCGTGAAGGTAAAGGGCCCAAGCCCATGTGGCAGTGGCACAGCCCCTGGTCTTCCCTGGCTGCCGGGCATCAGTGATGGAGCCTGAAGCAGGGTCCAGGTTGCCTGTAGGGGAGTCCCCGAGTACGGCCTTGCTAGACTAGGCTCTCCTGACTAATCTGGTCATCATTGCCAGAAGCTGGACACACCAAGACACCTCTGGTCAGGTGAGCCTTAAGCCGACTGTGGCACGGCCCGGTCACCTGTTGGCACTTGGCCACAGAGGAGCCCACCTAATGGCCCATGCAGGGAAGGACCTCACAGGCTGGTGGAGGAGCCCGTCTCAGGCAATGACACCATGATTCTACCTTATGGCATCCTCAAGTGGCTGAATTAGACGGAGAACACCAGGGGCCACAGGGCTCAGTGGGGAGGCTGCGGGGGCAATGAGACCAGGGAGGGGCGGTGCCAGAAGGCATCCTGGGTACAGGGACGGGCATGGATTTGTGCTGAAAAGGTTACAGGAGGGGCACTCATGTGCCAGGGCCTCCTGCTATTGACGCTGTGGTGAGGTCATGTAGGACGTGACCACTGGGTGGACTGCTTGGGGGTGCAGCGACCTCCAGTGACAGCCGTTTTTAACCTTTGTGAGACTCTGGAGGTTGTTACTGCTGTGCGGTAACAAAGCCCGTCTTCATGATGTCTGAGACAGTTTGTTGCCTTAGCCGTTTTTAACTGTGCCATTCAATGGCACCAAGCACCTGCCTGGGTGGAGACACCCTCAGCACCACCCATCCCAGCACCCCCACCTTCCCAACTCTGGTTTTGAAACTTCAGAATAAAAATCAGACCCGAGGCTCACCTCAGGGCCTCCAGCAGGCAGCTGGGGTGTCGCAAGGCCTCACAGGCCACCTTCACGTCGTCCTCCCGCAGGGCCGTGCTGCCCAGGTCCAGCCGTCGTATGTTCCGGTTGATGATGAGTGTCATCCAGAGGTACTGCAGGCCGGGCTTGACCTCCGCATCTTTAAATCTGCAGAGCAGAGGGGACGTGAGGTGCCAGACACCGACGTGGCTTTGCCTCCTCGCCCTTCTCCTGCGCCAGCTCTCAAGTCGCTTTTTGAATTTTAATTTTAAAACAACATACAGGAACATGGAGAGAGAGCACTGGGCACAGGAAGAGAGGACACAACAGTGCTGGCTGGGGGCAGACTCGGCCTGCTGAGAACGGGGTGGAGCTGGAGACGTGCAGCCCAGTCCAGGGAAAGCCAGCGTGGGCGCTCGCCACGGGGATGAGGCGGCATTGGAAAGCAGTATGGGGTTCCTTAGAAAACTGGGAATAGAACCACCATTTGACCCAGCTATCCCTCTCCTCGGTCTATACCCAAAGGACTTAAAATCAGCATACTTCAAGGATGCAGCCACATCAATGTTTATAGCAGCCCAATTCACAATAGTTAAACTGTGGAACCAACTTACATGACCTTCAGTAGATGAATGGAAAGAGAAAATGTAGTATATATACACAATGGAATATTACTCAGCTTTAAAAGAATAAAATCATGACATTTGCAGGTAAATAGATAGAGTTGGAGAATATAATGCTAAGTGAGGTAAGCCAGTTCCCCAAAACCAAAGGCCGAATGTTCTCTCTGGTAAGTGGATGTGGATTCCATAATGGGAGTGTGTGGGGGGGTGCGTGGGAAGAATGGAGGGACTGTGACTGGGCAAAGTGGGGGGAGGGGCGGGGCGGGGGCATGGGGGCAGGAAAGATGGTGGAACGAGACAGACATCATTACCCTGGGTACATGTATAACTGCACAAGTGGTGCGATGCTACATCGTGTATAACCAGAGAAACGAAAAGTTATGCTCCCTTTGTGTACAATGAATCAAAATGCATTTTGCTGTCATATAGACCTAATTAGAATGAATGAATAAATAAATAAATAAATAAAAAATAATAAAAAAGGATGTCAGGGCAGGAGCATTCAGGGAATGCTAAGGACGACAGCTGTGAGCTAGGGGACCAGTGAGCCGCTGCCCGAATCTCCACCACTGCTGGGTACAGTGATGCCCACAGACATGCTGCTGGGCAGGGGCGGGGTAGGGTGGAGGTGGTTCCCAGGGAGTAGCACTTAGAGGGACAGCCAGCCCTGGGGAAGTAAGTCCAGGTGGCCATGGGGTGTGAGGAGGAGGGATTCCTCCTTATTCCGGAGCCAAACTCCTCAGTCCAGTTGGCTGAAGAAAACTGCTCACAGAGGGAGGGGCAGGGTAGAGGGGGAGGTTAGCAACCAAAAACTTGAACAGCCTCATTCTGGTGTTGCATGAATGTCACTTGGTCTTGGACACAAAGTAGGCAGCAGAGCTTCTGAAGTAGACCTGGCGCTTGGTCCTGCTCCAGGAGCCTAGAACAGTGTCCCAGCTCCATGCTACACCTAGAGCTCATTGGGCCCTCCTGGTTGGTGCTATGCTCGGTCCCCATCATGGAGGACAGGCTTCATGGGGTCTGTGGACCACGTGTTTTGTACTCACTGTTGCCTCGAGCTCTACTATCACCCGGGATGAGCTCTCCTCACGTTCTCCCCTCCTAACCAACTCCTACTCACCCTTCAAAACCCAGAGTCAGGGAACCTGCTTCAACAATCTAGTTGCACAGCACGGTGTTTCTAGTCACTCCCCACCACCTTCCACAGCACGTATCCCCCCTCAGCACATCTGTGGGGTTCCGGCCAGGTCTCCTCTCGGGACAGGGAGAACCTCTCTAGTAGGGGGCTGGGAAGAGCCTCTCTAGTAGGGGGCTGGGCAGCCTTACATCAGATTCTGTATTTTACAGGTCGGCCATCTTAGCTTGAGGCAGAGTGTCTTCATGGCCCATTTATTCAGGATGCTGTTTCCCAGGTGGAGCTGCTGCAGATTCGGGTGGGTGCCGAGGACAGAGCAGAAGCTTTCCCACCACTCGTCCACGAGGGCCTTCTGCTGCAGCCTGTTGGAGACACAGATGTGAGAGATGCACCTGGATGCCAGCAGCCCTGGGACAATGAGGAGTGAGATGACCAGGTATAGCAAGATGGGCCCCTTTCAGGCCCCCTTCGTGCACTGCAGACTGGCTCTTACCCAGATGCCTCCTGAAATTCTATGCCTGGGGCAGGGCATGAGGGCGTGTAGGCGCTACCTGCTCTCAAGCCACATTAGAGTTCTAGGTCCCCCGATAGATGCTGTGTCCACTCTGAAAACTGTG